GACGTTGCTGCGAAAGTGGGTAATTATCCACCTCTTGATATATGATTTGCAAAAATGGTCACAAACTCAGACATGCTTCATTTAATCAGTAACAAATTCGAGATGTCATTCTCGACCATCCGCATACATGATTGAGATAGATAAGCTTACGTGAAGCTTATTCTTAGATGATTTGTTTCCTCACGCGTGACGCGTACGACAGCCTCGCCTGACCTGATTCATCATCATACGGGGCCACTCATGTATGCGTTTACAAAATATATTGTATTGGATGAATATGTGCCAAGTCCTAATCCATCATGTGGTGGAGTGTTGATCACTCTTTTATAATGTCGATACCAACTCTCCACTGGCGCCCGGAAGACCGACTAATGGAGGGGGTACTCCGATTCTGTGCTTCAAACTTCGCTCACCTTGTGTACCCGTCGGCAGAGCGGGTTGCACTCTTCTATATGGAATCAAATTGATGTCGAATTCGGACGCGTGTGAGACTGGGGATGTTGCGCAAAAATCTCTACACGATAGTGGGTATACTTGTAAGGTGCTCGATATGAGTCACCTTGATCTCTTGGAGATCGCCTTTACCAACGGTGATACTTGATTCGCGATTCTTCTGACCACTTGATCCGTCCCGTGATCTTGCACCTTCGCCTTTTCTTGTTTGCTGTGTCCAACCGTAGTTAAAATTGTTGTTTGAAAGTCCTTGATCGCTGGCCAAACTATCAGAGGATATCACTTGGTTTTAGTATGCAACTTATCTTGACGTCAGGTGGCCAATAATCCGACCCGGAAGAGAAGTCGACACGTGTACTAAAAAGCAAGCTGAACTATGTTTAATGCTAACCAATCAAACCCCAAAACCAACTTATTACTAGGCTTATCGGTACCTCAAACGTCTGAGTCCACGCGGCTTCTTCTACAGAAGATCGTCCCCCTGTACCTATAAGGCCTGCACCAAGTACGCTGTCTCTTGGACATCGGCGTGGCCTACATCCAATTTGTACGCTTCTGGGTCCATGCTCGCGATCTCGTTTTGGGATCACGACATCAGTTATGATTAGTCTTAAAGTACGTAATCACTCTGGAGTAAATCGCATGTCCCGTCTTTGCCACAACGAGCTCACGATCTGTTACGGTTGGGTATAGACGATCGTGAGCCACCCGTCCCATCTCGTATTATCCAATCGGATCCTTTCCGGACTTAACTAGAGCTTGCGATATGATACGTTGGAGTACACGATCGTAAGACACCCGTCCCATCTCGTATTATCCAATCAGAGCCCTTTTAGAATTAACTGGCGATTGCGATCTGTGCGCTTTCAAGTCCAACTCAACCGTAAAATATTGTGATTGGTTTGACCCAATGCAAAGCGTGATCCACGGTGACCACAAATAGATCCGGTAAGAGTAAACGGTTCCTCGCACGTCGATTGCTAGATGTACCTTATGATTTATTTTGTCGTCAAAATTTCTAATAAATTTGAAATTCGAATGTATTTATTTTTTATTAGCGATCTCTCAGCTTTCCATGCTTCTTTCCTGAGCCTAATTTGATGTTTGCATCAACTTATTTACAATTTTACGATAAAAATCGAATCAACTAGTAATTCGGGCATACTCATCAATGTAACGATGTGTTTACCACTTAAATGATTATGCTATCTTGACTTTCCGCTGGTCTTTAAATCCCCGACAAATGGAAAGGATTTAGATACCAAGTTCCGTACATTGTATATCGATTTGTGCACTCGTCGGTAGGGAGGCCTGCAATCGTCTTAACGGGTTGATGAATTCAAAAGGATCGGAATGCCCGCTGATATATGTCTCACGCGATCGCAGTTGATATGAAGAGATCGACCTGAAGTTGTTTGCTTACCACACTGTATATACTTGATTCACATGTACGTTCTTTTTAGTCCTGCAACGTCCGATCGCAGCTACAAATGACTTGTCTTAAAGGCCTGAAAACTGGCCAACTAGTCTATGTGGATCTATCGTAGGAACTTATACGAATTTTGAATTAGCCAAGATGCTAGAAAATCCTTATCGGCAAAATTTATGCTTTTATCTACAAAATCCTTTTAGTCAATTTTTACTGCTAACAACTAGAATGAAATTTGTCTAGGTCTATCTGTATGCTACGATTGTGCCACCGTGGTGCAATCCTAATCCTCTATCTGTGTGTATTCCACGCCATATGTGGTCCATCTTTGAATGAAAATCATCGTGATCAGCAGGTCTGCGATCGCAATGTTTTCGTAGTCTTCAATATTTGATGAGTACGCTAAATTTTGATTTGAATGAAAGCCTTCGTGTGATTTATTATCGAGTCATAAAGCTAGATCTCATTACAATAAGCACTACGTAATCGCTAACAGCGATCTGTAATAAGCGATTGGCGTGTGGTCCATATAAATTTGTGGCTCTTGTATTTATGTGATCTGCACCAGCACCTATGTCACCGCAAACGCCTTCTCGGTAGCGATCGGGTATAAGCACATCAAGTTTAACTATCAATATTCACTTCTCTCCGCTATCCTCTATTTGCACGCTACACATTCCCAAATCAATCTTTTCGACAATTTACTTGCCCAGTCAGCTTCGGTGCCGATAAACTCACACAAGATCACAATTTGTATCGGACGGCGGTCAGGCAATGGTCGATCGCATTTTGGTTGCGATCGGGCTACAAAGATCCTCTTGTACAAATCTCTGTGTGTGGCACCATGATTTGACATCGCTCATATGCTACTGAGGTCATACCTTGAACTCACATAAAAGGACCCATTACTCATCATCACATCTATAAATTAACTAATTTTGATTAAAAAAAGACCGAACACAACATTTCGCATTCCACACTTCTCCGTTTACTTTCGCCACACAGGTACATATTACGTGACGTTCACAATCATACAAAAAATGGAGTGACCAACGGACATGCTAGCCGAAGGCGAAAATGACAAGCCTAATTATACTCTAACTCATACTGACACTTCCCACGATGTTCCCATTGCGCACATACATCATATATTCGGACACTTGACATAAAAGCCAACATGGAGTGATTAGCATACGTTACTTCATATTAATGGTGAAGGTAAGATTTGAGAATGTTATCAGCACAAAATATAATCAATTTATGGATATATCATCTAAATGATATTACACAGACAATGCGGAAAAATAACCAGCAGCAGCTTTGTGTGTAACAACCGAGTATTATCAACGTAGTGTAATCTGTCAGCGAACGTTCACTATACCTGTCTGTTATCATTTTCATGACTGCTTAAGGAAGTACAAAAGACCTTTGGTCAGTACTTCAGTACATCTCCTTAATATTTTTTGCCGCTGGTTGTTCGTCGCTGAATGCTGCACCACGCCTTTTTCAAACCATAAATTATAGTACTCGTTCGCTATTCTTCGAAATTGCGCTATCTCATACTATTTCTAAGCACGGTAACGCTGTAATGGGATACCCTTCACTTATACTGCCACAGTGAAACCTATCTACAATAATACTGGTGTAGGGAGGTTCTTCCGATGCTCACGTGAAGGGTACATGGAGTGGACAAGGCGATTATTATAACCGACAACGCTTCAAAGAATGAAAAAGTCGAAATGTACATCCAAATCTTCTGATGACATCCCTTTCAACATTTACTATATCGAGCCTTAAATCTATATGTAGGGACTCGATTACCACCCATTGCGCGCGTCCAGCAGCTATAATTGGTTCATGTGATTGATAAAATGGTCTATTCCGATCCAACTAGTGGAGCGCCTTTAAAATTGGCTGTCGAGGCAATTTTTCTTCAGAATATAATTCCAAGGGTAAGTGAGAATATTATCGTAGATGATACAATTCACATCGACATTATGCGATGGAGTTGTCATGTAATGGGCTCACCTTGTTTCAAATGTCCGAGAAGACAACGAAATTACAAAAATATTGAAGTGTGTACGGATGATACGCGTCCAAAATGACACTACCAAATAAAGAAGGAAGACATCAATGCTTTTTAAAAAGTTGATGTTAAATAATGAGTACCGCAACTGGTGACTTGAAAAAGCGATACTGATGAAGTAAAAGTGACTGGTGACGCGACTGGTGACGTTATAGGACGCAATTCTAAGAGTGGGCGGTTCATCTCATGGGTACACATGAGTGACCGATTGTAACGGACATACAAGAAAACATAAAGATCAAAGCTTGAAAAACATTTATTTTTTTTACTTTGCTCTGAATCTATGCCAGCAACTACCAGTTGAATCGCCCTCTTATCGTGCAAAATTATGTATGACGAAGGATATTTAAAATTTGTTGTAAATGATGCAAGAGACGGAATTTGTAAATATATTGAGCGACGTGAGTATCCACATGATTAAATTATACAAATCGATAGTTTATTTCTGAAGCACTTTTTATCAAAGCGTATGGTACGGAGCATGTTGCTTATTTGTTTTATACGTTAAAAATCTTCACGTTGAAAACAGATAGATTTTCAGCCATGCGGGGTATGATGTTGAATGCTTGATGAGTGCTCGTTGATATAAATCGTATGTACACCTAATTTTCCTTTATGATACTAATGAATAAGTGTGGTCATACTCTCATACGCAATCGTTTAGCACATTTATTTCTTTTCTTGTGGCGATGATATCTGCTCATGCGAACCTAGAAGTCTTCTAAACTAAATTATAACGATATAAATTTATTGTCAACTTTTTATTGTTTAGGTGATACGGTCCATGGCGATGCTAATTGCTGACCAGAATGATTTTCTTGGTGTATGCAGTGCGAAACAAGATTTGAAATCAAAAGATTCCTCTAATTTACAAATTATGGCATTGGAAACGTTGACGTAGAACATGCAAAAAAGAACTACCCGCAAAAAATAGCCTATATCACCATTACTTTTTCATATTTTGTTTCATACAGACTGCGACTTTCTTTCGTGGACGACTCTCCATCCGACGTGACGTGGAGACGGTAACGGATGCTGCTCCCACCACTCGTGGCCTTAGTGCTGCTGACGCACAAGGCAGCTGCGGGAACGGAGTCCGTTATGCGAATTGTCAACAGCAATCGCACTGTGAAGCTGAACCCGAGCGTGCAGCACATTCCACTTGATCCGGCCAAGGCGCAGATGCGACCACCACCGGCGCACGTTCCTGCGGTCCCCGAAATTTTCGTGGGCATTTCAGTATTTCGCGACGGTTTTCGCTGTGGCAAAACTGTCTTTACTGGCCTCAAGCGTGCCAAGTACCCGGACCGCCTCTACTTTGGTATCGTGGACCAGGTGAACGATGACGACGAGCGTTGCCTCGACGAGTACTGCAAGCTGGCAGAAGCGGAGTGGCCGGACAAAGGCAAGTGTCCGTACAAGGAACGCATCCGCGTTGACTTGCGCTCCGCTTCCGAGTCGCGAGGTCCTACTCTTGCGCGCCACTACCAGCAGAAGCTTTTACAGCAAGAAGAGTTCTGTCTTCAGCTGGATGGACACAGTATTTTCACAAACCTTTGGGACGAGAACTTGCTGGCCGAATGGAAACGTATCGGCAATGAAATGGCCGTCCTATCCACGTACTTGCATCACCTCCACGACTTCATAAAAGAAAACGGCGACAACGCTTTTTCGGCAGCTTTGCCCCATCTGTGCTCGACCAAGCGTGGTTCCAATGGACTAGTTCGCAACGTCGGTGCAAGTATGATAAGTGAGAGTAAAATCCCACAGCTGCAAGCGCTGTGGGGTGCCGGGTTGTCCTTCAACAAGTGTCACGCCGAGCGTCGCGTGCTGGTGGACCCGCATACGCTTTGGATGTTTGATGGTGAGGAGTTTCTGCGCGCAGCTCGATTATGGACGAGCGGCTACGATATATACTCTCCTAGCACGTTGGGCTCCGTCGTTTTCCACAACTACTCCAGAGTACCTGCTCGCTTTGAGCGCATAAGTGTGGATCCACAGGTAAAGTCGCGCGAACGCCAAATGGCGTTTAATCGGTTTAATCTTCTGGTTGGCTATCCTTTTAAGGGTCTCGTTGACACGTTCGAGCTGGACAAGTATGGTTTCGGGTCTGTGCGCTCTTTTCAGAGCTACCTCAATTTCTGTGGCGTGACGTTCCAGGAAGGTTTGAATGATACCGAGTCATGCGAGCAGCTTCACTGGGTACCTTATGAGAATGAAACAGAGGTGGAAGCTTTGGTGGGAAATGGGTGGAAGCTGGGCAAAAAGAAGCAAGAATCTTCAACGCTAGACGCTGGACGGACGAGAGCTCAGGCTTATATGGACGAGAATGTGGGCACTGATGATGTACAACGCGCAGCAGATGTGCACGCTAGAGACGGTGCGAATATTGGAGAAGACGATGCGGTAGATAAGACGAGGACGCAGCTGCGGCAAAAAGTACTGAGCGATCGTACAGCAAAGGGATCTTACGCTGCAACGGCTTGGCTCGTCCTCATTGTCGTCACGGCGGCTCTCTTCGTTACTTTTTCGAGGGACTCTGTGTCGAGTTACATCCGCCTTTCTTTTTGTGCTCGCGAGCCGCGCTCTCACGCTTCTATCGAGTAAAGCAGATACGCTGGATATAAACGATGGTAAGCAATGGGAGTGGTAAAAATTGCACTATCCCAACTCGAGCAACATAGTGAACGGCAGTGCCTGCTTTTATCGCAAACCCGCGGGTTCTTTCTCACACTACACCCTTTTCGTCTTCTTACAAGTTGCAGTAATTCTACAAAAGTTTAGCGACCTCGTTTCGCCAACATTGATGCGGTAGCATTCTTAACTTGTGATTAAAAAAATTGACATCCGGTTCCATCCTATCGACAACCCACACATTAGTTTAACGACTGCTAGATATTGGATCGCGCACTTCGAACCAAATTGGTTTTGAACGTCACGTCAGTCCTCATCTGGCCTGATCAAAAGCCATAGATCTCACGTTGCTCGGATAAAAAACGAATCAACGTCTCCATCGTACTTTCGGTACACCGGCTTTCTTGAGACGTGCAAATTTATCACCACTACATTTACTTACTTATGTTTATGTTATAGCTGTTGCTGTATGATGGTGTAGCGGTCTATCGGTCTCGCGTTGTTACTTTTGTAACAGAATGGACCGTTATGATAACTACACTTAATCTTGTTTCAATTAGTCCCAAAAAAGGAGGAGAACAAGGCGCAGCACGAATGTAACTATCGTGGCTTTCGTGTTATATATTAATCGCAACGTCGCATCCAGCCTTGAGCTTAACATGACCTCGAAAGTAAGATTGAGTGTATCAAAACAAATCTATCTCTATCGAACTTAATATAGGACGTCAGGCTCTGCAGTCGCTTTTCCGAGAAATTTACAAGCCAACTCGGTTGCAAATCGCATCACCAAAGAAAAGCGAATAGCATGAGGCCGACGCTTGAGCAATTAAACCGAGGCCTCTCGGAGACATTTGTCGAATTTACAACATGTGTTGCCGCGATGTATCAGCCGCATCTGCTTTTCAAACTCGCCGTTTGTTATATTAACGCTTGCGAAACTTGAAATAAAGCATCAGCTTTCTCACGTGCGCTCTTCGTAACTTCGAGAGCTCGATGGAAGACAGGCCAACAACCACGAGCGACAAGACAGTAGAACTAGCATCCGTCTTCTATCTTAACTGCATAACGCTCAAAGACAATGGTGGACATCGAATGTTCGTTTCCGAGCTTACGCACAGCACATTTTTGGTGAGCAAATTGTAATATAACGGTCCAAATACCTAGCGATTGTCATATACAGCATGCGTTGCTTTTTTATTTGCTTGACTTGATTTTGTCCAAAATCTATACATGTGATGCTGTAATTATCAATTTCACCAGATTCCCTGTCCAGGATGATCGTATCGGACGCTGAACGAAAGGAACGACAAATCGCAAAACAGCAAAAGTACGTGTAGCAATCTTACTGACAAGCCACTTAACTATTGTTTGAATCTGAGTGTCAAATGCTTCGCTTTAAGGGTATATACGTATTTACTGTCTCAGACCTCCCAGTCGTGGCCTCAATCTGACATCTCTATATGAAAACAAACTAAAACTTCTTCGCACAAGGTCACATCGATGATAGCAACGTCTTGGTTCATTCAGATCCCACGATCCCGCTGCTTGTATAGATCCACGGTGTCACGACGTGAGCCAGTCATAATCATCGCTTTGAATGATGTCGCTTTAATAAGATAAGCCGTCGAATCAGCGCCGACGCTAAATAATAGTCCAATGAGAATATAACATACCTTTTTAAGTACTTGGTAAATCTGAGTGCGGCTTTTACGTGGCGATTCCGCTTCATGCATTTAGCCTGTATTCTAAAAAATGCACCACACAAATCAAAAAGATTTGAAAAGAGAAAATGAAACACTGCCAACAATATTTACGCTTCCCATAATCAAAATAAAAGTACCATTGATGCATATCATACGACTGAATGTGCACATGCATGGGATCTATCGTAAACTCTACGCATATGTGCCATATTCTCTCCAACATTTAATCATCCGAAACCTACACTTTCGGCAATCGTATTCCTCGAAGAAAAACATTTGTCGACGCGCTAAGTGAAATGTACAGTGTATTTTATGGTTTATCTTGTAAGGCCACGATTCTTTTACCTCACTCACCCATCTTTTGTTATTTAATGTCTTTATGTATAGCTGTCATCTTAATGTAATCGTCTTGATCGGGCGAGACGAGACAGTGCCGTATTTACAGAGTGCGCGCACAATCTTCTGTAAAATGGTTAAGATACAACCCGAAAAGGCATGCGATGACATATACAAGCAACAGTAATGAAGAAATGGTGATACGCAAGTAGCATTATTCAGTGCTACCGCACGTGGTCACGTTGCATGTACGCACGTCAAAGGTTGCACGCTACAGATTCCACGCAATGCTAATTAAATAGCGTACTCGTCACATACGAAATGACGCTATTGGTGGTAGTGATTTCGGTGTTGATATTGATATTGCGGTTTGGATGCTGCAAATATAGACGCAATATTCATATCGTCAGTATGATATACAAAGCACATAAGCGTGCTAGTTTGATCCCATCTTTCCACATCGCATGCGAGATACGATAAACTAATTCACAATTATTGTAACGGAGCAGCCCGTTACATGGAATTGTCACTTTAAGGAAAGAATGACAATAAAGAATATTAAGTTGAATATTCTTTGAACAATATCACCAAAGTGGTGATATTGGTGAAGCGACCAAAGGGTCTGCTGATTGGTTGATATCTTGACGATATCAACCCACCAATCGCCGCAGGACGCGCGCAATGAGTGGTGACGAGACGTCACCATACACTCAGTTATATTAGCATAATTAAGTCAGGTTAAACAGAGAGACAGTAGTTAAAAGACTTAATTATATTAAAACAACAGTTTTACTCTTTCCTTATCCTACGCTTCCTCGTTTGCCTCGTGTACGCTTGTCGGGGCACGATACCCTTGCGTTAAGTTCACGCAAGGGTATGCCCCGTTACACCTGGTAGCACTTTGTAGTACTTCCAAGGACCACAGCATCCAACATGAACATGTTGGATGATGAAGAGACCTTTCACGCCACGCGTGAAGGGTTTAACCATTTGAGTGACATCGAATGGAGTGCGGTAGAACGAATGAGTTCTACCGTAGGCGAGTTCGCCATTAGCGCCATGTTAGAGTGTCTAGACAGAAACCAATAACATGCCGCTATAGCCAAGTTCATACAAAGTGAACTTGTCGCCGAAAGGGAGAAAGCAGCCTTGCTTCACCAGCAAGGCTCTCAACAGGCCGAGCAGTTGAGAGAACTCGGTGCTCAACAGACAGAGCTGTTGAGACAGCAGCAATTCCATGCTGCTGTGGGCGGGACGGCACATATGCGTCGTCCCGAAGTCATGAAGGTTGACATCTCCAAGTACAGTGGAGTCTCGGAGGACTCCCTGTTACTACGGTTTGTCGAACTCGACAGAGCCTTAAGGGCTCGTCGCGTCAAAGATGAGCAAATAAAACTCACATTTGCTCAAACCCACTTGGCAAGACGTGCCAAAACTTGGTCCTTGGGGCTCGAGAGTAGCAACCCACATGTGTTTAGGTTGCTAGATGACTTCAAGTCCCGGCTCAGACAAACGTTTGAGCCGCCACGGGCTGAGTTCAGGGCTCGTTCTGAGCTCCTGAAACTCAAGCAGGGTAAGCGTGATGTGCACGCTTACGCTCAACATATACGACTCCTCGCGAGTAGTATAACTGCTAAACCAGTTCATGAACACACGTTGATTACGGTGTTCATGCAAGGGCTCGCTGAAAGGCCCGTCAGGAGCCACCTGTTCCGCCTTGAGCTGTATACGCTGGAAGATGCGATATCAGCCGCGGAACAGGAAGACTTTAGCATGAGACAGGCTCATGCTAGCTCAAACTCTTATCTTCTACCGAGACGACAAGAGATCGGAGGTCCAGAACCAATGGACCTCTGCTATGTTGAGAGCGAGAGACCTCGCTCTTCAAACAACAAGCGATTGCAGAAGTGCAATCGCTGTCAGAAGTTAGGGCACTTCGCATACGAGTGTAGTGCTCCACGCCTAGTACCAAACAGTACTGAGCGAAATGGACGACCATTTGCCAGAAAGGGCAATGGGCGTGGGTCCAGCGCTGTTGCGAAGCCGCAACAGAGAGACGGACCATCAAAAAATGGACGGGGTCAGTAGGGGCGGAGCGCCCTACTGATCCAGCAACCTCAAGAGAATTTGCAAATCTCTTGACGAAAGTTGCTCCAGATACACAATCATTGTGTGTCTCTGCACCTGGTGATGACGTTTCGCTCATCACCTTGAAGTCAGAAGCGACAAATGATTTGTCGCTTCTTGCCCTAGTAGACTGTGGGGGGTCGAATAACTTTGTTCGACGCCAGTCGCTAGAGGGTCGTAGTCTCAAGCTCGTTGAGCGCGACATTCCCCTCACGAGGATGACGGTGCGCCTTGCAAGAGGCGCATCGATTACCGTTGAGAAACGTGTAGTAGGAATCCACTACACGTTGGAGGGCGAACAGTACGATGATGACTTCATCGTACTGGATCTGGATGACAAATTTGATGTCATCCTGGGATTTTCTTGGCTCAGAAGGTACGAGCCAAGAGTGAGCTAGCAGCATCGATCCGTGAAGATGCCTGACGCTTGTTAATCAGATGGCCATCTGATGAACATCTTGGAGCATCCACAAGCGTGTGTATGTTCTACGAGTGAGTGCGATGGCCTCACTTGCGGTACGGTCGTTAGCACGACTGAACAAGATCACAATGTAGTTGATCACTACACTGTGGAGCAAGCTCCCGGCGGCTGTACAGAAGTACAGGTTGCGCCGAAGGTCCACCACTCGAATAAGTCGAGTGGACCGGGACATGGATGCATGCCTAGTGGGCAGCATCTTTTACAAAAGAAACATGTTGCCTTCAAAGGGCAACATGGACATCCTAGGTCGACTGGAGAGTCGACCGTAGAGGATCGGTACCTGACTGTGGTTGCACAGCCACAGTCAGAAGACGTCGAGGGAATAA